GGTCAAGTTAAAATAAATAAATAAAAACAACAACAACAACAACAAAACAGATACATACAAAATAATGTAACCAATCCTAACTTGAGTTGGGTCTTGCTGAAGAAGTCTGAGATTTCCAAGCTTTAATTAGGGAAGATTGTCCAGGCACATGCAGCACCATGAGCAGAAGGGTAAGGCTGTTAGAATGTACTGCGTGCCAGGAGGACTTCAAACCGTCTAGTGGAACTTTAGATGTCTGCAGCTGAGATGCCAATAGTACATGCAGAAGAGCTTGGGAAGGTCCGTTGGGTTATAAATATCAAGGATTTGTGTACCAAAGGATGAGATCTGTGCTTGAGCTGCATGACCTTGGGCCAGTAACTGCAGGAAAGCTACTAAAGAGCCTGAACTGAGCTCCAAATCCTCGGACACCTCACGTGCTACATCGCAGCCACATCCACTGCTCTGATGCTTGTAGGTCAATGACTGACAGCGGGGAGTGGGGGGGTGGCTATTAGGTTTTCATTCTCTGACAGTCTTCTCTGCACAGTGTACAGTATTTAGTTCAAAGCCTACTTTGGAGGTTGTTTCCTCCATGGTCATGGAGAAGAGGGCTTGAACTTGCATCAACATAATACAAATAGTTTGTCTCAAATGTTGGAGAGTCCTGGGCTGAAGCAGAGAGATCTCTGCTCAGTTCTTAAGCTGTCATTAACCTGGCCATGTGGCCTTGGGAGAGGACTTGGTCTGATCTCATTTATAGATGGTAGCACCAACCTTCCTCTCGTAGTGTTTAGCTGAGGTATATGAAAAAAGTCTTATAAACTGTAATATACCGAGTATCTGCACTCTATGGCCAGAACTGAATGATTGAAGGCTATAGAAACTAAGTCAATGGTTGTGAACACCAGACACAGTGTGGGAAGAGGTGGGTGAAGGACCAGAGGAAGATAACTTTCTAGTATGGAGAGCTGGACTGGTGAGAAATGCACACATGCTGGAATGTTCACTTGGTAAGCTGGGTAGCATGATTGAACATATAAAAGAAATAGAAATAAAAAGGAAAAAAATATGAATACATATTACTTGTATAACAAAGCAAGGTTTGTAAGTTGCTTTAACATTAGTCACTTATTTTGGGGTATATGGGGTTATTGATATCAAGTTTTGGATATGAATATTTAGAGAGATTAAATTACTTGATTATAATGATATAAAACAAACTGCTCACCCAAGAATATTTACCGCTTAAAGGTACTTGCTTCCACACCCACCTCCTTCTCTCAAATGCATTAAGTAATGTTGAAATGGGTTAAAATAAACTTCTCTTTATGGAGAGCTCCCTTTGTGCCCAGCTCCTATGTATAGAGTGAAAGAACCACACAAATTGTGGAATGGTTTCCTATGAAGCTTCCTGCATCAGATCAGTAAGCTGGGAAGGTGGCAGTTCTGGCCCTGCTTCTACCACAAAGCATTGGCAAGGTATTGGAGCTCTCTGGGCCTCCATTCTTTCACCTGAAAAAAATTAATTTAGGCTGAAAGTTCACTTTCAGCTCAAAGATCCCACAAAATAATTTCATTAAAAAAAAACAAACAGGGACCAGCAGTTGGTGTAATGGCTATGTCGCTGGATTCCCACATAGTCGACCATAGTTCAAGTCCCAGACCCAGTGGCTTAAACTCATGCCAGGCGCGTGTGTGTGCATGCCCCCAAGATCCCAAGAGGAGAAAGGAAGAGAATGGATTGCGGCATGGCCATCCCCCTGGGGGGTGATTTCTCACTTTCTGTGTCTCTGTCTCTCTCTGATGGCGAGCACATGCGCCCTATAGCAAAAAAAAAAAAACAAAAACAAAAACAAAAAACAAACAAAAAAAAACCTCTCCAAAAACCAAAACAAACAAACACACAAACTATAATTCACCCACATTTGCTGACAAAAGTTTAAAAGTTTAAAAGTTATAAGTAGGTTATTATGTGCCTTAAATTTTATTGTCTTCTCCAATAGAGCTTCTTGCCAAGCATGACTGCAGAGGGCAGTTTTGAGCTAACACACGGGACAGCAGGGATGGGCAGAAGAGGGGGTGGGCAAGACATGCTGGACTTTTGCCTTCCATGGAAACCTTTGCAAGTTATTTTATCTGTAACATTAGCACTTGTTAGACTTGTTTTATAAAATTTTAATAAAAATTTAAAATATTTTATGAGCAGCAGGGCCAGCAGGTGGCATAGAGGTTAAGGCAATTGGATCCCATGTGAGTGACTTCCTGGTTTCAGTTCCAGACCAGTGGCCTGATAAAAACACATTTGTGTGCATGTGTTCCCAAAATTCTGAAAGAAGAATGGGGGATAAGGGATTTTGGTGTGGCCATCCACTTCAGGGAAAGATTTCTCTCTTCCCCCCACCCCCCAACGAATACACATGCACAATAGCAAACAAACAAACCAACCAATTCCATAAGCAGCATTTGATTAATGAGAGTACTACATCAGAGGGCTCAAGCTTTTCTGGCATTTCATAAAACAAAATTTGGGCTCTTGGTGGTCCACACTAGTCTGAGTCATCCAAGCAGTGTGATCGGCAAGGCAGAACAATGACATTCTATAAGACAAACAGTCCTCTGCTCTCCCCAGAATGTCCGCGACCCTCCTGAGAGAATTACACTCTTATCCGGTCTTAGTCACTCCACAAAGGATGTGGCAAGAACAGTGAGTCAATCAGAAAGAGTTTGGTGTCCATAGGGTTCATGAAAGTAATACGTTAAGTTCAAGGCCCTTATCTTCCTGATGTGTGCACTTTCAAACAGAAGGGAATGAATGTAGGTCACCTGGAATGTGTCCTCTCCCCTAACACACATAGTAACCCTAGAAGCTCTGTGTTTTTCTCTTATTTTATATCAAACTAAATACATTAACAGATGTTAAGTAAT